TTCGAGATGATAGTCGAGAATATTTCATGTCATTGCTATCAACACAATCAAAACTTCACAAAAACAATAAAGCACTGAGTTGAGAAGCTTACGGATGATATGAATACGATAAAACTGATATAATTTAAAAGTAAAACTAAATTTCGTTGAGAAGCTTACGGATGATATGAATACGATAAAACTGATATAATTTAAAAGTAAAACTAAATTTCCATTATAATTTTAAAAAAATTAATTTATTGAAATGGGTGAGTATTGTTTTATTTTTAATTATTATTTCTTTTTGAAATTTAATAGATGAATTAGCGAAGGGTAGAAAATGCAATATTTAAGTTAAATTTATGGTGGCGTGTAATTAAAGTTTAAAGATTAAATTTGATATAATAAAATTTATTTTTTCTCAAAAAATTAATTATTTGTTAATCTTTTAAAACCAGACAAAACTACGTCGTATGCAGGACCCGGCAAACGCCGTTCATCTGTTCAATAATAACGAACATGGCGGCGAAGTCGGGTAATCGAAGGCCAATGGCTTTCATCTCTCTCCTTCCGCCCTCCATTTCCTTTGAAATCGTCAACCGATCCGCCCTTCTTTCATTCTATGTCAAGCAATTCTGTCCGGAATTGGAGCTGATCCAACCAATGAATCACAAATCTCTCCCACATTTGGATTCACACCACCAAATCCGACACTATTTCATGTATAAATTTGGTTTTTTTCTTCATCAATCACAGACCTCAATCCTCCCCCTCGTATCTGATCTTGTCTGGAAGATCGAGGCTTCGGAGGGCTTGAGGTTTCCATTGCACTACTTTTTCTTCGTTTCTGGTGTGATTTTTCTGTTTTCTTCTTCTTTTCCGGAAGTTCTTCCGTCTCGGATTGAGTCCATCTTGTAAAACACTCATTCCTTCATAAAATGGCTTTCACTGGAACATTGGATAAATGCAAGGCTTGTAATAAGACTGTTTATGTCGTCGATTTGTTGTCTCTTGAAGGCAATCCTTACCATAAGAATTGCTTCAGATGCAGCCACTGCAAAGGCACCCTTTCGGTTAGTCTCGGTTTTACATTTTCAAATTTTAACATCACCTTCTCGTGTTAGATCGTTCGATAATGGCAGATTTTACCCTAATTGTTTGATTATGATGACAGATGACCAGCCACTCGTGGATGGACGGCGTCCTGTATTGCAAGCCTCATTTCGATCAACTCTTTAAGGAATCTGGAAATTTCGCGAACTTTCAATGTAGTATAACCTTTATTTCCCTCTTTGTCTCTTCCTTTTTTCTTTTCATATGTTCCTGACATTCTCGTTTCATTGTTCAACAGCCAAGTCTGATAAGAAACCTGAACTGGTATGCTCCCATTGTGTTCTTTTTTCCTTGGATTTAAAACAAGTGACTGTCATAATCTCACTGACTTGTGAATTAGATATTAGATTGAATGTATGAGAATAATGTGGATCAAAGTTTGCTTAGCTTGCTGACCTGAAATAGAATGACGGGCCTAGGCATTCTGGTTTTGTTTCTAATTTTCTAAAGTTTTCAAGCGGTCAAGAGCAAATTTGATTGGACGTGCCATTAGGGCTTTCTAACGTTCTATACTAAACTTAAGCTATCACTCAATCAGCCATTAGCCACTTTTGTTTCTAACATTTACCCCGAAAAAAAAAAGAGTTTTGAAACTTCAGCCTTGTGATTTTCATGAAAATGCTGTAATATTTATGTTATATTACGACTTTCACAATCTTTGACAGACAAGGACCAACAGCAAACTCTCCGCCATGTTCTGTGGGACTCAAGATAGATGTGCTGCTTGCAGTAAAGTAGTTTATCCATTAGAAAAGGTCCGTAGTTCTTCCCCTTTTCTTCTTTACAACACATATTTTTCTCAAAATTGTTAAAGAAAAACTCTGCTGGGCTTAACAGATCAGTCTTGAGGGGGAATGCTACCACAAGAACTGCTTCAGATGTGCTCATGGTGGATGCAATTTGACACACTCTTCTTATGCTGCTCTTGATGGTGTCCTGTACTGCAAACACCATTTTGCTCAGCTCTTCATGGTCAAGGGCAACTATACCCATGTTCTTCAAGCTGCTGCAAACAAGAAAGCCACCATGACCCCGGCCGAACATGCCGAAAAAGATGGCAAGCCTCAGCCTGATTCCGAGGACGGCGCAGTTGAGCAATCTTAAAATGCTTCTTCTGCTCTTCCAGACTTTGAGAATTCATCTCTTATGAAAAAAAAAAAAAAGTATTCTTCTGTGGAAACATTTGTTTTTGTTCTTAATTCACATTCATTGGAATGGAAACATTTGTTTTTGTTATCATTCACATTTATTTCCAATTTATACTATGTTCTGCTGTACTTTCAAATATCACCTAATAAGTTCGAGAATTTTTGTTCTATGTTGAAGCTCGGTTCTTATGATTGAGGTTTGTGTTCCATCCTTGCAGAGGTAGAGAATCCATTGCTATGCTAATGGAAGTTTTGGGGAAGATAGAAGGTGGGCTTACTACTTAGATGCTTTCCACAGTTATCTGCTTTACACTTGGCTATCTAACGTTTACCGTTGGTATGATAATTGATACACGAGCAATTATCTAGAGCATTATGGCCATGTTTTTTTTCCCAAGTTGTGCATATTCCCAAACAAGATTCTTTGAACCAAATTTGTCCCATTAGCACTATTGGATATACACCATTTTGGCTTCATGGGCGATTGTGATTGCAGTCTTTATAAGTCCATATCATATTGATGTCAAAATAATATCTATTCGATACAATTTAATTCGGATCACTCAATTTCTTAATATGCCATTATTAAACTAAAAAAATCCTAGAAAAACATGTAGCCGTATGATTTGAAAATCTTATATACAGTTCATTTCCCTTATGTCATACACGTGCTACAATAGCTGAGACATAGGGTTGTCATCTCGGGAGGGCGAGCAAACTCCAAAAATCCGTCCTCAATTCGAATTGTAGGCTGCAACTTACCTAAGCCATAATTGTTGGTAATCACATACGGTGGTGAATTCGTTCCCGGGCTTCGTACATACCGCCCATCATAGAAACTAGTCATTCCCGAAGTTGGCAAGTTTCCCATCACACACAACATCTAGTCTAGTTTCCCAGACCGCCCCACCTCTTAATTATAATATATTAAAAAATTATTTATGCATATATTTTTATAAATCGAACTATATGGAATAAGAATATATTCACATTTTAAAAAAAATTAAATAATCTATTTGATATAACTTTAAAAATTAAAGTTAGAAATAAAATATTAAAAAATCTAAAGGAAAAAAAAATTGTAATTCTTATAATTTTTTAGTTGAGTTGTTTGAGTGATTTTTAGAATTTTTATTTTTAGTAAAATTAAAATGTTTAAATAATAAAAATATTAAACATAAATTTAAATAAAAATATTAAACATAAATTTAAATAAAAATAATAAATAAATAAATAGGTTTTTTTTTCAACATTGTTTATTTGTCGGTTGTATTTCACGCGCTTCAATAGCGCGTGATCAAGCGCCTTTTTAATTCGGAATATCTCACTCCTTCAACAGATCGACAATGAGGCCATCGACCAACGAAGGGCCATTTCGGTAAAATCGCGAGAAATATCAAAGAGCAGTTAGTGGCGTTCTCGGCCAGAATTTTTCATTTCCTACCGTCCAAACAACACGAAACGCAAATTCACTACAAAATTTTCTCCCTCATTTGTTCTTAATCTTCCATTTTTTTTATTTTTGCCACACCTGGTTCAGGACTGTGATTGCCGGAGCTTTGTTTTCCCTCCAACTCTCTGCCGCAGACATCTCTCCATTGTTTTATCAGCCTCCAGCATCGGTTTGTTCATTTTATGTATAGAATTATAGTTTAATATGTCTGAATAGTATGTTTTGTGGTATAAATGTTTCGTGAATGTATATTTGTAGCTCGTATTTATTGCTTTTATTATTGTTTTCATTTTTTATAATCTGCCAGCTGCGGTTTGGATTTGATTGCATTGCTATGTAGTTTAGTGCTCAGTGTGAGTAGTTATATTTGTTTTTGATTGATTTGTTTGAATTGAATGCACGAGGGACTGATCTGATGAGTGGAATTATGTTCATGTTTACGAGTTAACGTGCATGGTTATGGTTTTCGGATTGTGGCAGGGTCTGGTTGATGGTTTGTATCTGTGTTTTTCTGAGCGGTTCTTGATTTTGTTTGACTAGGTGTTTGAATGATTGGCAACCTTGTTACGAGTATGTAATTGAATACTGGGTTTTTTGAAGGGCTTGTCTCATATTCCTGGAACCATGGATTTATCTTGTAATATTTGGAAGCAAAATGTGTTATCTGGTAGTGAAAAAGCATATTGCAAGACGTTGGACCAGTTTGGTCCCAGCTATGTGCTTAGAAGTAGAATTATTGATGCCAAGTTGACTGGAGGTTCAAGGGTAATTTATAAAGTGTCGAAGAAAAGAAACAGAATTGTAGCTGCGAGCAATTCCAATCATTTGAGTCTGGTTTGTGCTAGCAAGTATGATGGTGCCTTGCAAATTTGTAAGCACAAAAGATTCTTGAATTGTAACAAAACATTTGGAAGAAGGATGGGCATGGTTTATTCAGAGTGTCAAAGCAATGATTCTTTATCATTTATTGATGGAAATGGCAGAAATTTGGAATATGTGGGTACTGGTGATGGAGGATCCAGTTCTGAGCATACTGATGGTTTAGGGTCAGCTGGTTCCAGAGAAGCTGGTGGAGAAGCAGGAGCTGTAGAAACGGATGCACTGACTGTGGATGAGCTTAGAGAATTGCTGCAAAAGGCTATGACAGAATTGGAAGTTGCGAGACTTAACAGTACCATGTTTGAGGAAAAAGCCCAAAAAATATCAGAAGCAGCAATAGCTTTGCAAGATGAAGCGGCCAATGCTTGGAATGATGTGAACTCTGCTCTTGATTCTGTACAACAGACAGTGAATGAAGAATATGCTGCCAAAGAATCTGTTCAAAAAGCAACCATGGCACTTTCATTAGCAGAGGCAAGGCTTCAGGTGGCAATAGAGTCATTGGAGCTGGCAAAAGGAGGAAACGATTCTCCTGAAACATCAACAGAAAGTGAGGGGGAGATTGATGGCAAGGAAAATCAAGAAGTGTTGTTAGTTGCTCAGGAGGACATCAAAGAATGCTGTGTTAATTTGGAAACTTGTGATGCGGAATTGAAGCGCTTACAGAGTAAAAAGGAGGAGTTACAGAAGGAAGTGGACAGGCTGACTGAGTTAGCTGAAAAAGAACAATTGATTGCGTTGAAAGCTGAAGAAGAAGTGTCAAATATAATGCTTTTGGCTGAGCAAGCTGTTGCTTTGGAACTTGAGGCTGCCCAAAGGGTCAGTGATGCTGAAATAGTTTTACAGAGAGTGGAGAAATCTATATCAAATTCTTTTGTTGACACTTCGGAAACCACACAGGGGTCAAATATTATTGAAGAAGTTGCTAACGAGGACAATAAGGCAGTTCTCGAAATTTCTGGTGATATTGCTGTTGAAATGGATAGAGATTTGCCACTTATTGGTGATTCCTTAGTTATCAAATCTCTTCCAGGTAGCTTTTCAGATTCTGAAGACTCTGATCAACCGTATGACTTAAGTGATAGTGAGAATGGAAAATTGAATTTAGATTCCTTAAAGGAGGTAGAATCTGGAGCAGAGAAGTCTATTTTGAGTCCAGCAAAAAAGCAGGAAACACAGAAGGATTTGACCAGAGAAGGCTCATCTTTAAATTCCCCCAAGGCTTTATTGAAAAAATCTTCTCGCTTTTTCTCAGCATCATTCTTTTCCTTTTCGGCTGATGGGGAAGAGTTCACTCCAGCATTTGTCTTCCAGGGTCTCCTGGATTCCACGAAAAAGCAATTGCCAAAGCTTATTGTTGGAGTAGTACTGTTAGGAGCAGGGTATGCACCAACATATTCTTTATCGTTTCTTCATTTGTGTCTAGAACAGTATGAAGGCCCATAAAGTTAGTTCTTGCAAGTATATTGCTAATTGCTCAGTTTAGCAAGCGTATTTCATCTTCCTGATGAAGGTATTGCACCAGTATTCTCCTTCCCCAGGAATCTTAGAAAGAAGAGATTTTTACGTCCGGTTTGTATATCTTACTATAACAGTAGCTGACACCTCAACCAAAGTAAATAAATAAGTAATAGGTTCTTGAAAATTGCTGCCATGTGGAAAGCACACTAGCTTCATAAGTATGAAATGTATCTATTGGTATATTAGTTCCCCTTGTGGACAATGCTATGCACTTTTGTCTTGTTGTTTTGTACAGAGAATAGATTGCTTCATATAGTCACTAGATGTTGAAATTCATCACAGGATCAGTATCTTTGCAAATCGAGCAGAAAGGAATTCTCATATGTTTCAAAAGCCTGATGTTGTCACCACTAGCACTGATGAAGTTTCCTGGAATACAAGACCTTTATTTCAACAATTAAGTAAACTTCCTCAAAAAGTGAAAAAGTTAATTTCAAAGATTCCGCATCAAGAGGCATGTACTCATTGATCCCTTTCAGAGTTGAGATTTTTGGTTGTAACTCTTATTGTTGTCATCAATCACAACATTTCAGGTGAATGAAGAGGAGGCTTCACTGTTAGACATGTTATGGCTGTTGCTTGCTAGTGTTATATTTGTGCCAACATTTCAGAAACTTCCTGGAGGTGAATGAATTTTACATGCATTTCTGGATTGATTTGAGTTTCCTACTTGCTTGCTATTTTCTTTCTAAATGTCCTTTGGTTGATTCCTTCAAAGTTCTTGGCTTCATGAATATCAATGTCAAGAGAAGACTTAAAACTTCTACTTGTCAGTATTTCACTCAGCTTTTATGTGGTCTACTATGATTTTGTGACATCAACTTCTAGTGTTTCATTAGTAAAATGAAATAACTACTTGTGCAGATTAAGATAGAGCTAGGTTTGTAGATTTCATATTCTCTTTACTGGAGTTATAGTCTAGAAATGTTGCTACCAACAGTTTATTTTATCCAATATGATAAATTGCGGAGATGTATTTGGGTTAGTTTATGTAAGGCTTTTTGGACAAGTTTATATAAGTATTTGTCTCTATATTTTCAACCGGTGTATTTTATCCAATATGCTGTGTAGGAAGTCCTGTCCTTGGGTACTTGGCTGCTGGAATTTTAATTGGGCCATATGGTTTCTCCATAATCCGTCATGTGCATGGAACAAAAGCAATTGCTGAATTTGGAGTTGTTTTTCTCCTGTTCAACATTGGCCTGGAGGTGATCCTTTTAATTGAGTTGATTTTGTTTTTACTCCTTTATTTTATTTGCGTTATACTTTTAGAAGGTTAAACCTAAGTTACTGTTTTTCAGTTATCAGTTGAGAGGCTAAGTTCCATGAAGAAATATGTTTTTGGGTTAGGGTCTGCACAGGTGATTGTGAAATTCCACTCTTTACTGTGTGGGGCCAAGTCTACCCTTTCTCTAGTCTGTAAGTGATGTACCTTAGGTAATTAACCCTATTCAGAAATGCAGGTTTTGGTTACAGCTGTGGTGGTTGGCTTGATTGCTCATATTGTCTGTGGGCAGCCTGGCCCAGCTGCAATTGTCATTGGAAATGGTTTAGCTTTGTCATCCACTGCTGTTGTCCTTCAGGTGTGATCACGGATAAGTATTTTCTTCCAAAATTGTAGCGTTTTCTTTTATTGTGCTATAAGATTCTCACTAAATGGATAATAAATTTTTATGTTCTGTAAACTCCCATACTGCTATAGTTTTTTGACGGAGTTGTGCCTGAAACTAACTTCGACTCCTTTAGTACTTTTATCTGAATCTATGCACAAGGGAAAATATTCTTCCCTGTGGTGGTTGCCTTGGTTGCTCAAGTATGCTTGTCTTTCTTTGTTAATGCCGTGCAATTTTCCATTATTTGACTTTTTCTTGGCTGCCAGTGGTAATTGCGATGACTTTGTATCTCAAATATTGAAGATAAGGAAGGAAAGGGCAACGACCAATTTTTGTGATCCCAATATGCTTGAACTTCTCAGTGTTAAAAAAAAAAAAAAAAAAATCCCTGAATTTTCTCACTCACAGAATACAAACAATTATTATTATATTTGCTAATTTGATGCTGTTGCATGCTTTCAACATGTTTTTTATAATAAACAATCTTTGTCTCATACTTTTGAATTGGAATCCGTTCTTGTAGCTACTGTCGGATTCCCTTTCAGACTTATTTTTTTCCATATGTCCTTGTCATTTTTTTAATTCTTCTCGACCAAAACTTGGTTTCTAAAAAAAAAAAAAAAAGGAAAAAAAAAAAGAGTTGTTTCATGAAATAGTCTAGTCATGGTATTCTTGTAAAATAAAAAAAATTAAGTTTTCATAATTTCCGCCCCCCTGCATATGAGCTTCTTATACAGATTAAAAGCTCATGTGAATTAACAAAATCTCAGCGTTCTTTGATGTACATGGTCCAGTCACTTGTTTTCTCAAAAGTATTCTATTTTTAACATATCTAATTACTTCTTGGGCTCTTTGTTATCCTAAATCACCATTTGATCTTGACTTATGGCTGATTTATGCATCCCCTCTACAGAATTTAGCCAAATATTAACTTTCTTTTTTATTGATATTGTAGGCTATATAAACTTATAAGCCTACATGACACTTTTTGGATGATATCAGCTTCGTCCATGGTTTCTTTTTGCAGGTGTTGCAAGAGCGAGGTGAGAGCACTTCGCGGCATGGGCGAGCCACATTTTCTGTCTTACTATTCCAGGTATCTTGATTATTTCAATTGTATTAATATTCTTTTATTTCATGTAATATCGATGCTGGATGATTTTACATGGACAACCTATTTGTCTGAATATGATCCTTACAGTTACAGACACAAGCACCTACTCTCATCTTGCATTTTAATTTCCTTGTGGTCAAACCTACATGAACTTCTTCTGAAGTGTGAATTTTGAATTGACTGCATAATATGCAACGAGAGTCTCTATCTTGTCTTTTTTATTTTGGGGGGTCTATGGTCCTATGTTGAATTAACTGGCCTACTTCTGTTGCTGTCGTTGACGTGAAAAATTTGTAATATTGAATGTCCTCTGTGACAGTGCTCCCGTGGCTAGTTTCTGTCTTTTTGGAAATATAAAATGTTAAATAAGAATATTTTGGTTTACCGTTGCTCTGGCTTCAAGTTAACTTTCTTTCCCTCCGTTTCCAGGATTTGGCTGTTGTGGTTTTGCTGATTCTCATACCTCTAATTTCACCTAATTCATCCAAAGGAGGGGTAAGAACTTCTAATACGTTGTCTTATCCAGTGCATGGCTATGACAGTTAATTGACAGTCTTATTACGCAGTGACAGAGTTCAAATTTAACACTCCCTTGGCACTCTCCGTTTTTCATTTATTACGAGCATAGTGTTGGATATCTGTTTTGTAGACTGTTACTGAAATAGTGTACTATAAACCACAAGTGTTGGAACAAAAAAAAAAAAAAAAAAAAAAAAAAAAAAAA